ACTGTAGAGCGAAAAATGATTAAGGCTTTCTACAGTACTACTAGGTTCTGGATCATTAATAAACCATCAGGTCTGGGAGCATTCTATGCCCTTTAAAGGCAATGTTGATGGACTGGCATCTCTATATGCCTGAACTTGATAACAACGATTAATTCTTGCAACAAGATGTATGTTCTCTGGGTCAAAACAAGAATTTAGTGCATCTGTAGCATCTAGTACTTTGTTTTATAGGCCTGAAGTTGAGTGTCTCTCGATCAATGACATTGATGTTTTCCAGGTCCGGACAATCTATTTGGTGCATCCCAAGCACAGGGGTTGAAGTTGACAAAAGCAATTAAGTTTTGCTGAATAATGTTCCCTGGATCAGGATTAAGTTCTAAAAACACTCTCAAATTTTTCTTTGATAAAAAACTGTCAAAGAATAGTCATCCAGTGCCTATATATGGTCATGATGTGATGTCATCATTACCATATTTAGGCATGTCACATGTTTTTGTCAAATAATATTTATCAGTCTGGACAAGGCTTTAGAATTTAGTGCATCCCTAAGTGACAACAACCATAGTTTCCTGGATATTCTCATATGGCAGACAGAATAATGATCATTCCGGCCAGAGCAGGAAAAAAATCAATGGAATATTGCATTGGGAGATATGATAAAAACAGATGTTCTCCGAGCTTCAACTAGTACATTAGAGACAAGGCTTTTACAACCAACTTTCTTTCTACCCGCCCACCTTCCTGTTATGAATTACTGTAGCTACTGTACAAATTAAATGGGTACTATACAACAATTTATATAGATTTACAGAGTCCAACATCTATACGTTTGATACCAGCCTCAGCCTGTGGATGTTAGGTTGTATTCCATGTGAAAAAAATTATTCATTTTATAGTTGTCAAAGTACAGTATAATCTTAATGCTTTCTATAATTCATAGCTTTATTTGGTATTTATCACAAAGATATACTGTATCTGTTTTGTAGGATTGACCTTTTTCACTACTAAGCCTTTAAGGCCAAGTAAAAAAAAAAAAGTTTCCAGTCTTAATATTTTGAAAAAAAGGAGAATGATGACACTTTTTTTTTTTTTTTTTAGTCTGAGATGGTAAATCCAAGATGGTCGATGGGGAACAGCTACTACTTTCTCACTTTTACCAAAGTAGACATTGAAAGCAACTAAAAGAAGGATTAGGCCAAATAACAAAAAAAATCATTGTTTCTTGTCCTGGGTTTTTCAAAAAGTTGGTGAGGGAGGCACTTATGATTTGATACTGTATTTTTTATTTTCCAGTGTTTGTCAAAAAATGCCATAATGTTCTCTGCATAGCAAAATGTGTTGTAAAAAATACTGTAGTTTTGTCATTGCTTCTATTGCTGTTTCTGTTGCTATAAAATGTGTCAGCAATTGAAATTTTTGCATTTTCGATGTAAGAAAACCCAACAATTTTAAAAGTAACAAAAAACAAATAAAATTGATGGTGGGCCCAAAAAATGGTTAGGGAGGGGACGGCAAACAAGGAATTTATGTTATTTGGCCTTAGACATGATTCGTACCATAATGAATCCCCAACCACAAACGATCACGAGGAAGTTTACTGATGTTAGTTAGCCAGAATTTCGTACACTTTGTAAAATAAAGCAAATAAAAAGATTTAAAAGAAATGGGCGAGGCAGGGAAAATGAATGCGTGAGGGGACAATAAACTAGAATTTTTTTTTTATTTGGCCTAAAATCTTGGTATTGACTAGTAGTACAGTATGCTTACATTGTTCTTTACAGAACAGAATAGTTTAAACACAACTTTACAAGGTCTTCTATTTAACTATACCATGACAACAGAACCTGGACGCATACCTACAGGGGGTTTTGACCTTAAGTACCACTATACTTGGTGACAAATGTTTCAATTGGACTGGTATAACAATAAAATAGAATATAGTAGTAGACTCATTGGCTACATATTGTAAGTGGTTCAGGATATGGTTTTGCAACATTTAGAATAAGTGTTGGTAAAGTTGGTTGTGACTTGACATACCAATATCACATTATTTCACGAGGATGAAAATGTATGATACTGTAAAGGGTAAGAAATATGAAGTCAGGGTATATTTTTTTCCATTGATCAATATGATAGGTGGCCATAATAATTTAATTTTTGTTATATAAGCCATGAAGTATTCGCACCAAAGGCGCTGTTCAGCATAGCAAAGACCACTTCGCAACCTGTCAACAGTGCAAGCTGTGGTTACTGCAGCATGGTCAGCGATTCGGACTCCGACCATGAGGTTCGGAAACTTGAATGGAAACCCTCCGACAACCCGCCTGCCCTTTCTAAGAAGTCCAGTTTATAGTAATAGTTAAAGTTTTCTTTTCTTAATGATCTGACAAATCCTACTATGTAAAAAAAAAAATCTGCTCACATTCATCCTTCAACTCACGGATACAATTAAAACATCCTGAGATCTGCATCTCAGTGATTCGCTACAAAGCTTGGGATTCTCCAACTACAGCAGCGCTATAGTACAGAGGTGTTGGAATGTACTGTACAGTACTTCACTCAAGATTATTATGATGTCAACTCTAAACTGTCCCAGCGACTGACATTACCTTGACATGCTTATAATTATGCAGCATTTCAGGAATGCATTAAAGCACCATATATTCAAATTACACTAATAATCTTGTTTAATCAAACGTTAAATAACAATATGACCGCTTATTCAACTCAAACTTTGTTATGAAAACCGTCAATACACCTGCAATGTTGTCTTATATCAAATATTCAGTAAACTAAAAAAAAAAAAAAACTAGACTATCCTGAAGAATTTTAATTTTAATTATCATTTTGGAGACGCACTGACGACTCCTGTATAATCCGTCTAACTTGAAACTGATAGTGATTGACTGTCATGAATAATTTTCTTTAAATGGTAATGGTAATGATGGATGATATAAGTTATGAGTGTAGACATATTTCCAAATACAGTATTTCATTATAAATATTTTATTTTATTTCAGAAATAAATCCATAAATATTTTTGTTAACATTCTAATATTGGTTGTATTTATTATTAATCCAAACAGTTTATTAAGCAAAATAAAGTTGATTGATTGATTGATTTACTGACAGAATAATCACAATGCCACAGTAGATTTAGAGTTATTTTGTTATCTCTGTGCTACACTATAGAGTTCCAATGAAGAATGTTACAATTTTTGAAACAACTTTCTCATTCTCTTCCTACAAATCTCCTTTCTTCTCATCTCTTTCAAATCAGCCAGTTAGGGCCCGTTCGAGCGAAAAACGCAAACCGTATTCCGGAGAATTCACCGGTTAATCACGCCGAGCACACAGCGGGTGGTCCGCCGTTCGACCAAATTTTAGCTCATGTCGAATACCGTGTAACGAAACTATTCCGGAAGTAATTTTGTAAGGTCATTCAGAAACACCAATCCCATCAACCCATTCTTTGTTTACTTCTGCTTGCTTAAACGATACGCGGGAACCTGTCTCTTATACACATCTATGTTCCCTGGATCAGGACTAAGTTCTAAAAACACTCGTAGCTATGCTACTAGCCACCATTATGGCTACAATGATGCGATGTTATATGGATGGATTTACTGTCCAATCCAACTTTGATTTCGCCGTGAACATGAGGAGGCGAAGAAGAGCGCGACGACAGCGGGTACTTGCTGTGGATGAACCATTTGGCAAAGCAATTAAGGTTGATTTATCATCGTCTCCGGCTCCAAGGCCATCTCATACACGATTCTACCCAGCAATTTGGTGGTCAAAATTGTCGCGGATAATCCAGATGGTAAGAGACGGACGCGTGTCCGAGCGGTTTTAGAAAGTGTGTACCGGTGAATTAACTGGAAAATCGCACGGATATTTTTTCACTCAAACGGGCCCTTACTGTATCAAAACAATATTCAAACTCAGTGACTACATACAGTACAGTACAGGCCAAGACATACCTGCATGCACAGCATTTATAATATATTTCGATCATTAAATCATCTGGTGTAAATCAAGGCCAGATGACCAGTATTTTTAGCTGGGTTTATGAGGTCACGGATAAATGTCAATCACATACTCTAGATCATTAAAAAGCAACAAAGGCGTGTACTGACCACAAGTTAGGGAAACTTTATGTAATCTAACATCTTTCTTAGCAGTAATGCTGCAGTGCAGGAAATAGGGCAGACAAGTTGGTAAGATGGTTAGATTTAGTGGTTTCATTGGAGGTTTTAGAAAATCTTTAAATATATAAACACATTTTCAGTACATCATCTTTAGTCACTTGATAAAAAAGTTGAAAAAATATTGCTCTGACCACTTACTCAAAACATGAGAGGTATTTATAGTAGTTTACTATACATTAAAACGTCCATTTTATGTACCCCTTAGTACCAGACACGTGCGTTGGTAGTTCGTTGTTCTGGTTAGGTTTATTACATTAATATAGTGTTTATTATACCAAAAATAGAAGAAAAGATCGAACTATTAATAAATAAATACAACAAACTTGATTTTATTTTAAAAAAATTTACATTATCACTTTGTAAAACATGCGCAATCAGACTTTATTTACGGTAATAATTGGTCGATGATGATGTCATCAGGAGCAAAGACCATTCGTAAAATCGACTATTCATAAAATTGACGTTCGTAAAATGGACGTTTTACTGTACCTCCATGCTCGAACTTACTTCAGTATTAATAATGTAATTATTGTTTTTTACAATATGATCATTAATATTAAAAAAGGGAAAAATTTGTCATGCAGTTTAAGGCTACCAAGGCATGGATAGTGTCTTAGTACTTAGTAGTCAATATATTTCATTTTTATTTTAATCTGCACGGTAGAGTAACACTACAGTATATAAATTAAATTAAAAAATGAAAAAATAGATATAAAATCATTCAAAATAATTTGTAAATAGATATAGAGATCAATGATTATGGAAGAGTATTTATTTATAGTGACTTACCTACTACCATTAGAGTATATTCAAATCCCCTTTTTACAGATCGTCTATACACTTGATTAGGCAGATTGGCAAATCCTACATAGCCTTCCATATCCTTCGGTTTATTCTACACAGAAAACAGAACAAAACACATTAAAAAACAAGACAACAGCTGGTATATTGTACATTATTCATATCTGTCATAAAAATTTACCATTGTTACAACAGGTCATAAATTAAAGCAGAATAAAGATATCAAATATATTAGATGAGGAGGAAAATTGTTTGCTTTGATAAGAAATATTAAACTTTAACACAATGTTTAAAATCTTTCCTTGTAAGTTACTATCAGGTAGCAAATGCAACTTAATATTTACTGTATTTTTGTACTCAGTACACTTTCAACTGAAAAATACAAAATATAAAACTACAAAAGATATCAGATGATGAGGAAAATTGTTTGCTTTGATAAGAAATATTAAACTTTAACACAATGTTTAAAATCTTTCCTTGTAAGTTTCTATCAGGTAGCAAACGCAACTTAATATTTACTGTATTTTTGTACTCAGTACACTTTCAACTGAAAAATACAAAATATAAAACTACAAAATTAATTACAGTAAAATTAATTAAACAAAAAATGTAAAATTAATTATTCATTAATGTTAATTGTTATATAGTACATATGACATAATATCAGATTATGTCATATGTACTGTATATATGACATAATATCAGATTGAAAATCATTTTTTTTTACATTTATTATTTTTTTGAAAATGGGTTTCCTCATCTATATAAGCCTATTATTCACCCTGAAATCGGTCCAATTTAATGTTTATAGGGATGAGCTTAAAAATTGAGGAACTACTGTAATATACTGTACCATAGTCACTATTAAGTAATTATGTGAAAATAAGAGAAAAAAAAAATTATTATAAAAGAAATTGTTATTATAGGACATGCTATCAGATTGGAAATCAATTTTTTGTATAGTACCTATCTTCATTTTCATGGGTTTCCCCTGCAATATAAGCCTACTGTACATAAAAAAAATCAACCCAATAAGGGTGGGGGAGGGGGCAGGAGAAGTGATCTTACAATCGAGGAACTTCAGTAATACCACAGTCATCTGAATCCAATTAACCTCGACACTAGGAAGAAATAGCACCTAAAACAGTAACTATAACTGAGAATGAAACACTATACAAAGTGTGTACATAGTGGCTTATTCAAGCATACTTAATAATTGGTAGTGAGTCACAACATATGTATGCAGCATGCCTATAGCACAGGTCAATTATTCAATCAGTGATGCTGTTTATACTACCTTTTAAAAATAAGTTCTTAATTATGGAATGGTTGGAGTCTGAGAAATAAATTCATAAACTGTTTAACTATTACTTAAACAGGAAGTGGAATATGAAACCAAAATAATGATATGTTATAAATTATTATAATTATAATTATTAGTATTATTTATTAATAAGCATTTAAAATGCGCATTTAAAAAATAAGGGCCAATTTCTATGCAATTTTGCAGAAAATTTGTAATAACTATACTAACACTATACTGCAACCAATGTAGTGTAGGCCCTACTGTATTATGCATTAAGTTGCCATGTAGCCCACCTATTTCCAAACAATTGTTTGAGTACATTAAAGTTATTTTTTGATGATAAAATACATTACAATGGTGTCCACTACATTGTTATGACCTGGAAATTAACATTAATTCATTATCTTAATTCAGATTTTTACTATCAGTGGCGAATTCAGAATTGGGAGAATTCAACTGAGAACTTAGAAAGGGAACGTAGAACAGATTCGCTCATCAATGACTGTCGTCGCATGCGTTTTACATTCTAAAGTACTTTAAATCGATTCAATATTTACAATGCGTTTGTAGTCACCAGCACAAAGGCTGATGCACCAATGTTTAATACAGTACATTCCTCATTCTGGCCTGAATAGAGATTCGACGACAATCATTCCACGACAATCATTCCACATTTCAGGAGAGAACATAACACACAACATTCTGACATGCGCAGTTAAATTAACATGACATCATTACGTTATCGCAAATCAAAAGCTCCCCAATGTTTTGACTGGGATGACGAGAGTGACAACTGAGAACCTATGAACATAAGGGGGCAGAATTTACGGTCATGAAAGATTTAGAGATGCTCTCTAACCTATTGTGGGGATACAGGAAGATATGTCTCCTAGATGTTCAGAGTTTTAGCCCTTTTAATCTCTTACAGTACTTAAATGACTTCACACATTTGGCCACCCCCCTGCCACTGGTTATCACACAAACATTCGTAAATTGTATATGTATATACTCACCGCTGTCGATGGTCCGTGTTCACCAGGTTTTGTTGATGCAGACGTAGGCATGATTGATTATCACAAAATATATCACAAGAAAGTAGGGAAAAATAAACAAGCAAGTATTATTATTACAGTTGGAACAAAATATACATATGCAGCATGAGCCAATCTATTGCACAGTTTCAAAAGTTGAGAATCACTTTTGAGTTGTTCATGTGCTTTTTTATATCAATACACACTATTAAGATATGAAGATACAGTTTTGTATATAAACAAAGAAAGTAGGCAGGTTTTTTGCTTTTCTTCCTAAAATGGAATGCAAATACTTTGTTGATGTTCCAAGATCCAAATCAGTTTGACCAAAGTGTGTGAAGCATATAAATCCAAAAAGCAATGAATCTGTACTTTTATCACAAAAGCAATAATCTGGTTATCAGAGCAGGAAGACCAGTTTCTTGTTAGCTAGCTCATGCAGGCGTGTGATGTGTGTGTATGCCGTACGAAGGGCGAGGCCAGTCAGGCGGCGCTCTATACACACGAAGAGCAACTAGCACCTACAACATGTGTAGCCTGTAGGTACGTCTAGTCTGCAGACAATGTGATTGAAAGAGGAACGACCGCCTACTCATTGAAAGTCGTAAATTTTAAATATATAATAACTGAAGGACAGTACTCATAAAGTAAATTTATAATTCTTTAGATATATAACAGTTTTTCATAAATTTAAATTGTACAACATTTAAACTAAACAACCTACCGTCCAAACACCAGCTAGGCCTGGGGGAATGCGTTCGAACGACGAGAACTAGCCTAGCCTATGTCTAGCCTAGTTTGGATGGAACATGCTAGCCTACCTACGTTCGGCAAATTCCTCGAAACTCTGTCGATATAAACGTATATGAAGTTGTAAACCACATGATAGTAAGTATATATTTTAGAAATGCATTTCCATTTTTAGAGAATGGCGGCTGTTGCTAATGCGATCACTAAATCATAAAAATAATCTTACCCATTTTTGTATTTACGGAGTAATTCCTAATAAAAACTGGTTACTGCGATGCCGAGATTGCAATGCTACCCTCTCTAGCGGCTCAAGGTTCAGATTTTTTACAGAGGGGGCAATTCGTATAATAAATAATAGTTTATGCTATAATTCAGTGTTTTTTTTTTTCACCGCATATTTTTCCTTCAATAATAAAATATAACGTGTTAATTATTATTGTTATCATTATTTTATATCTTCGAATTATATGTACTTATTTGATATCTTTCAAAATGTAATTATAAAACTGTATATTCATTAAGGTAATGGAGGGGGAACTTCCGTGAGAGGGATAAGAAATTGGGATGGTCTTGTTGTATTCTTGTATTATTAACGATTTGTTACTTTATCATATAGTTTCTTGACTATTAAGTTTTTATTTTGTTTATTTTTTACATTTAAAAAAAATCACATCATATTGGATTGGCCTATACTACCCGTGAACCTAATCTCAAATGCCTAAGTTGGTATTTTAAAGATACTTTCTTCCGTATTTCATTTAAACCATCCATTTCATATTAACCTACGGTATGTATCAAAGCATTCTTTCTTGAAACACGATGCAACTTCTGTTATAGTCCTACTACATTATATTTTTTAATGACAGGACGATAATCGAGCCACGCGGTATTTCGATCTTTATATTCAGTTGGTTAAAGCAATATACAACCCGGTCTCGGGGTTCGAACTTCGGATCGGTGCAATATCAAGCTATAAAGGCCAAATCTGAAAGAAGAATGTCTCCAAACCTAATTATCCATTTGTTTATTGCGTATTTTCCTTAAGTTTCGATTATGACCTCTTAAGAGGAG